GTACGCCCCGAGAAACTCTATTTCTACAACATTCGTAGTTCCAGTATAACTTTCTCACGCAGTAAGTTCAAATTAGACACTAGTCTTTCTAAATAATCCTGTTAAGCTGATATCCGTATTCCCTTTTTCAGTTAATCGATGAAGACATGCACCACGTGCATCTGCTGTATACTGCCATTTTACTCCAATTCTAACTGTTATATCTTACTTTTGAATAATAAAATTGCTATATGCTGCGAATAGACTTATTTGTTTTGATGGAGATAGGGGGGTTCATGGGGTTTTCAGCAGGACCGTATCAATATTCTCACTAAAGAGCTAAGCGAGGACTAAAAATAGTATCATACTATGATTTACCATTTTCTTTTTCCTCTTTTATTGTTAACATACCTAGTTTCCTGCCTTGAGGTTTTGGTGATCCCCTGCTTCTAGACACGGAAGCCTGTTAAGCGAAAGGTTCTATTCAGTCCACAACCATTTGAACACATGAACTAGGTGCTGAGAGGCTCGCTTATCACAAGTTTCTTGCAACAATTAAGTAGATAAAACAAAGTAGCATTAGATTCAAAAAATTATTCAAGAACTTTCATTAAGAATCGAATATCAAACAAAGGTTTAAACCAAGTTCCCGTTTAAAAGTTGTATTGGTAATGTTAAGCTGCAGTTTTTGTTGTTTTTTTCCAAACGAAAGAGTAAAAGAAGTCAAAAAATACTGGAGGTGGTTGTGAGACTAAAATGGAAGTCCAGCATCCTTTTTATAATCTGCTGTTTGTTGGGTCGCCTGTAAACAGTTCCATAGGGCCATAGTTCCAAGGGCGAAACAGTTTTTAGGGCCTATGAAGGCTCACTCCTATTTCATTCTAAATGAAAAAAATAGTGATGAATTTAGTCAGAAATGTGGAATAGATAAATAACCAAATCACATGTTTTTTAGCAAAGAATTTATGCAGTTGTGATTTACCTTGAGTTCATGAATATTAGATAAGGTCAGCTACTATTACTTGCGCAAAGCATAACATGGGCTTAGTACCGTATTGCAATGCTTTTATTATTTTGCTCCCATTTAAGTATTCCCATGCATCTGCGTCTAATTTAACAGGAAAACATACAAGCAGATTAAGTATCTGATAAACTAAAAGTCCCAGTTGTCAAAAAGATTCTTAACATTTGTCCACAGCCAACTGCACTTAATTGAGGCACAGAACACTCATCTTCTAAGACTGTAAACTGCTGTTTTGCGGGCAACTAAAAGCTCAGACACTTAGCTATCTTGCTATCGATGTTATTGCTGGGGAAATTGTTTAATGACAGTGATCATGAAATATGGTCAGTGATAGATGTACAGTTTCGAAATAAACACCAAACATACTTATCGCTGTCTTATAATGTATGGCAGCAACAGCATCAAAGGCACGTTTTTTCCTATTTTTAATCAGACTGATCTGAATCCGTATACACATTGGAAACAGGCAACTCTACTTACTAAACTGATCTGTTTCGTTACAGGCTTCAAGCACTATACTTAATTATATCATAATTCTTTCAACTAAACTGAATTATACGACAACCAAGAACACTAAACTAAGCAAGTGTCATAGTTATTGTTTCACTTGCAAAGACATGTTGCTCAAAGTAGTTAAATGGACATTTTTCAGCCGATAAAACCAAAACACGAAATATAGGCCAGTTGAACTTACCTAAGAAAAAAAGAAGGATACATATATACTGCTTTCATACTGAAGACAACAGGCAGTTGTTCATAGAAACATAGTTTACAGTACAACAAACTTCTCTTCAGTAAAATCATGCACTGACAGTCTTTCTGGAAACAATCAACTATGTGAATAAACTCACTATTACTTGAGATATCATCCCAGCGTGCAATGGACATACAGTGTAACGCAGTCGGACGTGGCGAATAAAAATTAAAAACAGAGCAAAATTAACCACATAATCTAGTTATTTAATTAAAAATACATTATGAAATGACAAAATCTGTGGTTACTTGAACGCACAAATGACAGTGTGCGATACATTAAGTTTACATGGTTGCGTTGCAGATAAGATCACCCATCATACCTTATTCATCTTTGGACACCTTTGGAGGAGAATCATCAACTTTGTATGTGTAGTCTGTATCACGTATCAGATGGACTACTTTACACTTTGAAGCATTTTCATTGAACCTTAGTCCATCATTAAAACAAATCCAAGACTTTTCATGTTTAGATATAAGGCCTTATTTCTTGTGGAATGCTTCTGAATCATTTTGGATGGTTTTAAAATGTAAAAATCCGTAATGTTTGTTTATCTAAGGCAACTAAAATTGAGCATAGGTCATTATTAGTTCACTTCATGAGGCGTTTTTCCTTCAAAGGTTACGTTAGTTACATTTACGATTCCTTCCGTATTGTTATATGAACGTAGGCCTTCTCTTTTTCGTAAAATGGTACTGACTTTTAAGCTAGTAACGTGCGTGTAGGTGATCACAGTAAGCTTCACGAGCATAAGTGGTGTGACTGATGGGGCTGCTCCAAAAAGTTATATTACCAGATAACGCGACTGTTTATAATTCGCAGAGGTTTGGCACACGAAAAATACAAAATTACTTAACTCAACGTAAATTCCAGTACTTGTTTCAACGAAAGAAGACCTCTGAAATGTTACCTTCAGTCCTGTAGCAGCTAATATTGTGTAACTCTTGTATGTCGGTTTGAAAGGAATTTATTATCCTAACATGTCGATCCGAAATAAAATATGAAACTTGTATTCAGCAAATTTTGTGCTCTACGAAATGATTACCATCATAAATAATGAAGTGAACACAGGTGTCGTGTGACAAAGAATGCCCAGGACAAGACAGATGCCATGACCATTTACCGTGACAACGTTGTTAGACGTAATCCTCCTGTGAACAAAGAATTGGAACGAGGTGTGTCATGGAGTTGATTACTCACTTCAGACTTGACTAATAGTATGGTGTGTGTTACTTATGTTGACATTCACAAGTAGTATGTAGCATCGTTCGAGAATAGAATGCCTGGCAGTAGAATGTTTAAATGAAGAGAAGAAGGACGTAGACAGAGAGGAATCAGAATGACAACATGATTTGAGGAATGAAGGGGTATGTGTAGGACCAATGAAGGAAGATGTGTAAATAATGTATTGAATGTATTATTTCCATATTTTACGAAGGTGCTATATAATTCTGCATAAGACAGTAAATTGTTTTTCCCCACCTCAGTGTTCGTTCACCACAACGGTAGTTTACTCTTTAGAAGTGTGAAGATCGACAGAGTTGAATTAGTTACATTCACGGTGATTGAGACAGTTTAAGATGAATACGGTTGTCCCGACACTATAATACTGGGAATGTCATACATTCAGCGTACTTCACCAGGGAGTTAGGAGGAGGTCATATTACTTATGTGAACAAAGCCGGACCCAAACAGTAGCCCTAGTAGTAAAGACCGACTAAACTAACGAAAACAGTCCGCAGTACGATTTTTAGGATGGGTCATCACCCATGACAAATCTTTCGGTAAAGCGGATCTGGATACAATATCGAGATTACAGAGAATTGGCAAATTTAATGTACTTAATTTTTATTTAGGCTCTTGATGAAGTTTCACGCAATACGTTCCTTTTTAATTCTGAAAAGCCTGTAGATGGCAGAGCACCTTTGGTGGCTTGGATTTTTCTTACTAGTCTATGGCAGAAGACAAGAACCATCTTCAAAACTCTATTTCAAAACCAATACATAGACTGGTTTCGCGTGATCCGGTTATCAGTTATATTATATGCAGTTTGTCATAAGATCTTCATTGATACTCTATGCTGATAACAAAATTTGGGAGAATCGTCGAGAGATGGAAATACGAGCACATTTCTGTCTGACTTTGGTTACCTGTCAAACCGGTATGCTTAACGCGTATCAGATTGTCTAAGCCAACCACCATACAGATGGTACGAACAAAAAAGTAGACAAAATACTACCATTCAGTCATGTTTATACATTTCAGAACATTGTTGGTTTTGAGAAAGACCTCCAGAAAGTTGGAAATTTGTTCACTATGACATACCTAGTCCCAGTGTGGTCCAAGCGAGAAAAATTCATTGCCAAGTGCAAACCCAAAACTTTCTGAAAATTTATAGAGAATGGCTCCCCGTGCAATCTTTGAAGTGTGCCCCTTGCGGTAGCCTATTTGAATTGACACGCTAGATGTTTGAGAAATGGTAGTTTCTCGATTTATATGGTTTTACGTCGAATCACTTCATTATGTATAACAGCCCATCCTACTGAGGTAGTCAGGAGTGTTGTTTTGTAAGAACTTTTTGTAAAAACACCCAAGATTACTGACAGAGTCACATATTTAAGATAAAGATTAAACTACGACAGTGGCCTCGTCGTATGATCGGTGCAAGAAGTCTTGATAAAGTACCCTCGCCGACTTCAATTGACCTCTACCAGTCTTCATAAATCGTACAGTGTCTCTTGTAAATCCTCTAAGTCAAGGCATGTTCAGTCCCGAAGACCATTTGGTTGGGAACTCATTATACTTCATTGTCACTACAGTATTGCTAGTTAAAAACGACACTGCCAAATAAATGTGTTTAGTCAGGCATTCTGGTCATATAATATAGCAACCCCACTCGAGACACTCCCAACATACCTTAGACAACCAACACAGCTGATCCATGTTTTATGCTACTGCAAATGACCACTCTCGTCATCCTTCATTATTTTGTGGGTGGAGCATTTCAAGGAGTATGAAATTAACACTATCCAATCTGAAGCAATCAAACAGAGCGTAAGAATACCCTTCTTTTTCAGTGTTTATATAAGCGTGATGTCCGGCTCTTTCGAGTGGTGTCGTATTCATTTAAATTGTCAGTGCTTGATGTAATTGTTACCGTTGATATTGAAATGTTGCTTTGTATTTCGCTCCACTCTCATGGACCAATCAGATCCACAAGAGTGACCGAGGTTACTTAATAGAATGGATGTGTCTGCGGAGTCTGGTAGTGATGAACCTGGAGTTTTGAAAGAGGTAAAAGTATTCGAATTCAATAATCCTTGAAGGTTGACTGCTATATATCCCCAGCTATGCAGAAGCAAATCCTATTGCTTTTGGTAGGTCATTTATATTACCTTCCTACTTAATATTATTAAGTATAAAAATCGAGAGAATTATCACACACTAGATAATGAGTCAATTAAAGAAGCTCGTATTAAGCCGAATCTTGATTTGCTTGAATTTGTTGTTGAGGATGGGCGGAGTTCTTTTGTTGAATCTGTTGGGGAGCAGATGTATGTATCTTTTTCTACAATATTATCATCCTTTAAGAGACACATATTTACTTCGGTCAAACACCGTCGCATTTCCGAGGACGTTACTGGGGTACTTTGTCAATGGTAAGCTGTATATCTGTGTTTGACATACTAGATGAATGCCACTTTATACCGCTTAAACGAGACGCTTTGGTTTTGGATACGTGTAAAGAAGCAGCTAAAGGTATGTATCTTTTCCTCGGAGTCTTAGCCGTCTCTGTTTACCGTTAAGTCTCTCCGAAGTGAAACTAATTCATATTCTGTTTCGATAACTTGTGAGTTGGGGATATAGATCCACCACCGATTTCCTAACTAGCTTTTGCCTGTACTTTAGTATCTAGTGGCACTTCAAAAGTGAGGTTGAAAGAGTACCGTTTACATTTTTTCTATATGAAGTGTCCCTCTTTTTACTTTTATTCATTTCAAATACATTCTACTAGTTGGATATAACTTACCAAGATAATCTTATGAGCGTTGTTTTTTCATAACTACCACATCCCATCAATTTACATTCTTCCTAGATATGTGAAACTTTGGTTTGAACAATCAAGTATCTAGCTATCATGTAATAATCACACTTTGAGGTGCAGCACACATGATATATCCATTACTTAAATTACAAACTAGCACTTCGTGCTACATAGGACTTGGAAGTGTAATATGGCGGGAAAGATTTAGGCCTGACTATCTAGTCTCAATTTATTGGAAAGTAATCCGCAAAACTGATTTTCTAAGCATATTTGTTTTTGTGTGATTAATCTGTCTGTAGGCTTGATGATTTATACGACAAATCTGGTCTGTGGATCGGCAGTTGTCTCTTGTATCACTTTATCTAAAGGGTCGTATCAATACCCTCGTTTCATGAGCAGTCATCACACGGCCACATCTTATTATTGTAGGTCATTTTGATGACCGATATTGTATCCATTTACTGTAATAATGACCGAAATCGTTCGTTTTTCAAATTGTCCATGAGTGTTACTTTATACAGTTGCAAGCAGCCTAACAAAATGTTTTTATTAGCTTATTCTATAGATGTATTATATTTGATCCGCTATGTCGTTACGTTTTTGACATTTTGAGGCACAGTTGGTGGTAGGAGTAACAGAAAATTATTTGGATCATATTTATCATAAAGAAAACTTGAGCCTTGTTGTTTACTTAGTAAATCTCGTCTTAAGTGGTATTCATTAGTTCTTAACATCTGTGAAATATGGTTTTGCGATAATGGATAATATGCACGAATTTCATGTATTTAATCAGTTATGTCTTCTAGGTGTTACGTGTGGACGAACTGCTAAATGATTAGTACTTGCGAATTCTGAGCACTATTCATCTGAACTTATCAACCTTCACCAGGTCTAATTGTATACACTTTATTAGAGTTAGTGTTATTCACATTAGTGAGAATTCTCGAACCCTGAAATTAGTTTATTTATGCGATTGCAATGATATTATTTTTCATCATTATCAGTACATGGACCTGTATTTGACTCATTGTACAAACTGAGGCTTGTGTTTCAAAGAATAAATATCTGTCTACATATTCGGCCCTGTATATTGTAACCTATAGTACTCTCCATAAGCATTTTGGCATTTTTCTTACCAAAACTCACTAATTTTTCCTTTAAGTAATCCAACGAACTTTTTTCGGTTTGAGGTTATTGTTAAAAGCTAGTTTTCTCAGCGTTTTTGACAGCTATTCGTCGCTTTTTTCGTTTCGGTAACGATGTTTTTTCCATCGATATATTGAGACAGAACCAGAATTTGGGCAATAAATCTCGTTTTATTACATCCATTTAAGTCATCTGCTTTGAGCTACTAATGGTTTTAAGTCGTGTTTCTTTCATAAAGTCAGTTTCTGTGAAAGATTTCTGCCTCACACAACTGACACTTTTTAAGCCTCTTCATCTGTATTGTTTCTTGGATCCTTTTTTGTATTACTTTTATTTAGCATCATTTACTAATTTGTTTTTTCCCTTGTATGTTGCGATTTGATGCTTTTAGTACCAGTCTCTGCATTTGTATCCTTACCTATGGAATGGACGTCATCTTTTTTACCTATATTTTTCTTATTCGGATATCATTAATTTCATTGACGAATAAATTTTTTAGGTACTAATTTATCTATATAATTTATTCATTATTAATTAGTTAAAGATGTAGGTTTAGAATATTCGAAACCATATTTCATATAGTCGTGTCTGTTTTCTTTCATAATACTTTTCAGTTGATAAGACAAACCAGAATTCTGATTCATCAACTTCAACTCCTGTGGGTCCCGCAGCATTCGTTTCTGCCCGTCTTAGGACTGCTGATGCAATTGCACTACGAGGTCCTATGGCGAGTCGTCGTAAGCCTGCAGATAGTGATCCTGATGTTATATTTCTGAAACAACAGGTCCAAGCACCATGGTGCCCAGTACACTACAAACGATTTATTGTAGGTTCAAAATTAATAAATAATATTTTATGTGCCATTTCATAATTTAGTCTTTTGTATGAACAGTAGTTTAGCCTTACAAATAATCACTAATCAAGTGATGTGTTTAGTACTTAGTTAAGTACTTTGTATCAACGTACATGGATTTCATATCCCCTAGAAGCTCAGGGAAAATTAACTTCGAGTGAAAGTAAATACATGTTCACTGCATGGGAATCAAATCGAAAGGTCACAAAGTTTTTAAAAAAATGAAATTGAGTTTAGTACTAATAGTTGAAAACTTCGTGATAAATACAATTAATCATTATTTGCAAGTGGTGGGCCAGACTGGTATTAATAAAGGTAAATATTAAATGCGTACTTGTACACTGATGTCTTGATTTTTAAAACATCCAGCTTCGAGTCAACGGATTCCTAGTTTGAACCCATTCTTACATACGTATATTATAAAAAAATGCAATGAAGCAAGAACGAATGAATGAAATATTCAGTTTTTCGAGTTAGTCAGCCACAATGTTGACTGGAGTCAAACAAAGCTGCCTACTCTCCCCCTTTGTTTTTCCTCTGAATTATGAAAACCCTGACATATGACGAGAAGCACATAATAAAATGGATAGCTTGGATGCAATTAGACGATTTGGACTTCGCAGATCATCTTGCCCTTCTATCCCATACACATCAATAAATACAGGTCATGACAAAGTGTAGCAGCAGCTTCTGCATCAGTAGGCCTCAACATACACAATGGAAAAATCAAGATCCTCAAATACAACACAGAGAAAATTAACCCAACCTCACTTGGTGAAGCTCTGGAAGAGATGAACACTTCCACGTACTTTGGAAACAGAAACGATAAACTAGGAGGATCTGATGCAGATATGAAGGCACGGATTGGCAAAACAAGATCAGCATCCTTACAATTGAAGAACATACTGAACACAAAGCAACTACCAACCAATACCAAAGTCAGAATCTTCAGTATGAACATAAAGACAGTCCTACCGTAAGGAGCTGAAACTTGGAGAGCTACTACAACTATCATCAAAAAGGTAAAAATATTTATAAACAATTGTATGCGTAACATACTGAATGTCCGTTGGTCGGATACCATAAGCAACAGCCTACTATGAGAGAGAAAAAACCAGCTTTCAGCTGAGGAGTAAATTAAGAAGAGACTCGAAGTGGATAGGACACACTGAAGAAAACATCAAAATGCATCACGGGGCAAACGCTAACCTGGAATGCTGGAAGAAAACGGAAAAGAGAAAGACCAAAGAACACACCGTCAGTAGTTTGAAACAGATATAAAGAGGATGAATTGCAACTGGAAAGGATTACACAAGACAGAGTTGGATATAGAATGCTGGCGGGTTTCCTATGCCTCTCCATGGGGGTAACAGGCGTAAGTAAGTAACCAACCACAGAGTAGGACGAAGCAAATATATGCACTGGGTCCAGTTGCCGCACCTCATTAGCACAAAAAACGAACACCAAATTCATAGAAGTAGTTACTTTAATGATAATGTATAAAAGAAAGATCTTATGTAAGGATATAATACAGGAAGAAAGAATTAGTTGGTATAAAGATAGAAAGCAATTTTAGTTTCACAGTTTAAGGGAAGACAGAGGTTGTATACACCTACGCCATGGTGATCGATTCTGAGCCATGTCATGCAGGGTCTCCAACCATTGATTACGATAGTCACGCGGACCCCAACCAAGTAGTCTGCATCTACCAACATGTTTCGGACCCGAAGTTAGTGACTGCAATGACTGATGCCACGTTTTGGTTTGACCGCCCCTAACTTTCTTCCATCCATCTCCAATACCAGTCAGGATTGCGCATCGCGGTAATCGATGTTCAGGCTTACGTAACACGTGATCCAACCATCCCAGTCTATGAAGATACACAACCTCATCAACTGATTTACCATCATTCCCTAATACCTTGCGTCTAACTTCATTATTACCTGCCCGGTGATCCCAGCAGATGCGAGCAGTATTTTTGAGACATCTGTGATCAAATCCTAGTAACTTACGAGTATTCTCTACTATTGATGGCCACTTTTCGCAGCCGTAAAGTAAAGCAGAATGAACTGCTGCACAGTATATTTGTCCGTTAACTGATAGATGGATATTTTGCCTTCATTATAGGCGACGTAAGTTGACAAAAGCCAAACGAGCTTTTTGAATCCGTGCAGAGATTTCGTCAGACACCAACCCATTAGAGCTGATCAGAGTTCCGAGATATGGGAAGTTGTCGACGCGTTCATCTACTTCGCTCTCTATCGTTAGTCCCGGTTTTGACTCAGGCCTTACGCTTAAAATTAGTGCTTGTTAAGAATAAACGATCGTCCGAGCACAGTTGCAGCAGACGGTCACTATTATCTATTCACTGGGGCGGAATACCAAAATACTTGAGGATTAAAGTCACCTGCTACGAGTACTGTGTCTGAGTGCTTGACTTTTTGAAGAAGTTCAGAAAGCTTTCTGTAAAATTTGTCTTTCACTTCATCCGCTCTACAGTCACTGGGAGCGTAGGCAAAAACAACAAAAAGGCAACGATGTGTGTCCCTATTTTTTCGTGTTCTTACAGAGCCGTTTAGCCGAACACCACATAGGCTATTGTTAACAGGGATCCATTCTAAAAGTGCTTGTTCTGCCCTCATACTTGGTGCTATATCTACACCCGCCAGTTGACGAGAAGTAGCCATCGGGTCTTCAAATAAACGGAGGGTGTATCTCTTCGGCTCCCCGTTTTGGTGAGGATCTTGTATGTGTGTTTCGGAGACAGCATACATCAATGGTACGAGATTCTAGGATTTTAGCCAAGGAGACCTGGTGGCCGGTTTGAAATAGGGTGCGTACGTTGAAGGCTCCAATATGTAGTTTGGAGCGAAGTTTCAGTAGACCTGGGACAGTGTTTTGCGCACTAGAATCGTTGGCCGTGTTGACAGTTAGGGACGAAGTTTTGAGTCGAAAGTCGATGTAGGAGGAATAATAGGAATCGAAGAGGGACACTGATTATGAATACAGTACTGTTAGAAGTATGATGGCGGTTCTCACTTCCCGGTCGCCCACACCGTGGAAGGGTTCTCCTAGAGTTACGTGAAAAGGAAATCGGGCTAGAGTCGTCCAAATTTTTTTGATCAACGAAACAAATTTGTGTCGACAGCAGAGGAGACTATTTCAGCGTACTTTCAGTCTTCGAGTTTTATTCCTAATATTCATTCAACAGTTATGTTCTGTTCTGGGTGTATCAATTTTTACTGAAGTTCTGTCTTTGTAAAGCTACTATTTTGTACTTTTCGTAGTACTGTGGTATGTGCTAATTCTACGAACAGATATAAGTAGTATGTATCAGGAATTGGAAGTACGATGCTTACTGACAGAAGAGGAAAGTGGGAAGAGTAAAAAAAACAAAACCAGTTGGAGTAGCAACAGGAGTAGAAAGAGGATGGAGTTTGTAAAAGATAATTCAAGGAAGACGTGCAAATGGTGTATTCAATGTATTGTTTTTCATATATTAGAAATTCAGTGTGTGATTTTGTATAATACAATAGATTGACTTGCCCTGCCCAAGTCTTCATTCATTATAGTACAGATTAATAACATTTCTGAGATGAGTTAAGTTGCTTACTTTATGTAAAACCAAATAGCGTAACTCATATTTCTTAATAAATAGGGTGATAATTCAGTGATTAAAGCAGTTGTATTCCAACTATTTGCTCTCAGATTCAAGCCTCCCTACCTAGTGTGGTTTCGGCACCTGATTATTATTCCTAGCATTCACATGAGAAGTGTAGCTGAAAGCTTAGCACTTGAATTTTCACTTTATAAATGCGTAGGTGTACCGTTTATAAATTGTACGACAGCTGTATATTCTACGAGTTTCAAGTGGTGTAAGTGTTTCTTTTAACAATTGTTGCTCAGTGTGTACTTCATTTTCACTAGACTAAAAATCCGGCTGCCAAGTATCAGTAGAATGTATCTAGTATTATTTGTATCCATACATGCATAAACTTAGTTTGAGTAAGGTAAGATAAAAACCGATTATTTGGCTATAATTTCATGTTATTATAACGCTTCTGTGTAATTCATTTTATTTTATTAGCCTAGTGAAGCCTTTGAAAGGCGTATTCCTTTATTGTATCCAAATGATGATATGCCAGAATTGACTAGAAATCGTGTAACAGGTCCAAGTCAAGAAGAATATGTGAACAATTTGTTAGCTTCAGTAACACCACATGTCGTTGAGTAAGTATAAAATTATTGTTTTTCTTCACTTCGATTTTAATTATTATGAACACGGAACATTTTCTGTTTTGTAATTCCTTACAGTTTCAAAGGTAATAATTAAAGATTATTTAATTTATTTGAACACATAAACATTGATACCAGGGGCACCAAATACATATGCGCCACACAATAACAATGAGGTTGTGAAGAGATAGAGAATGTAAAGTGCATATGATAGCGTTAGCGGGACATAAATTGGAATAAAGCACATTCCGTGCACGATTGTGTTGGTACACACTGATTGCCTAATTCTTATCTAATCAGCGCTAGTCAATACTTGGAGAAGACTCTAGAATCTTCTCTTGTAGAAAATATAAATGTACTAAAGTTTTTCTTGTTGTGCTTCTTACTTCCATCTACCTTTGTTATCTGGAATATAATGTCTTTCCTGTTCAACCGTGTTCTGATTTGGGACTTGTCGAGTGAATTAGTGTCCAAGAATACTAAGCGATAGGAATGTCTTGGTCGTAATAAGAGAAATTACAGCAAATAGAAAGAACAACGAACAGAAATTAGTGTATGAGAATGAAATAATAAATAATAATAATGGGAGAAATAGTTCACTTATCAAAAATATAGCCAGGAAGAATTCTTTCAGCTAAAGAGGTTACGTCCATTATTATGAAGAAAGTTACAGTAGGATCACCACTGGCTTCTCTGAGCCATATCTGATAACATTCGCAGCCACTGTATTGCACCACCTCTCGGGCCCCAACCAGGAAGTCGTGAAGGATCAACAATAGCCAGTCCTGTACCACATTCTTTCATACCACGACACCATGTCATACACTGACCACCTCTCAATGGAAGAAATATTACTTAATTCTTTAAAATATTGCTTAGTAATTTCCTATGTTGATAAAATGACCAGTACTTTAGTCTTCACTAATAATCAAATCCTACTGTTTTTGAAATATGATAAGATCACTGGACAAAGTAACACCAACATTAAATGAATATACAGAATATATGGCTTATTCGTTATGAATATGAAGTCAGTTCTCGATACATCTATACCAATCCTTTAGTACTCAGATGGTATTTCTAGTTCAAACATACACGATAATTGTGTGCTATGTTCGCAACTTGATCAACGCAGAATACGGTATACAACTACGACACTCGAGCGTATAGAATCACACACTTGCAGATCAGAAGACTGGAGAAGTGCTTGTTGGGTAGGAATCAAAATGTACAGAAAATCACGGGTATTTATAGCTATTAGCGTTTGTTATGTCAACATTATAATTCAGCCAATCCGCAAAGAGGCATGTCATGCTACTATGCAATACTAGCATGCCTCGTTGAAATCATGTTCTGATTGGATAGAAACTCTTTGGCCCCTTTAGGGCTTCTGGAAGCTCCGTCGTAGTTTTCGGAGGCCGTCCCAAAAATGTGGCGTGTAGCCCATCACTAAATAATATAAATGTTCTTTCTGTCACCACTTTACAATAAATTGGATTTTCTTATCGGAATTTCAGTGGGAAAATTTAGATGAAATCCTTTAGATTCGGTCTTTTATTTTTTTAGTAATCTAACAAGATTAAGGTGATTCATTTCCTTACCAAGGTTTTAATTTGCATTCTCTACTGCACCAATTGATAACCTATTCATTCCCATTACTTTAAGCTAATAGGTCTAAACCCCAATAATAAAAATAGATTGTCATTGCCAATTAGTGACAGTAGGCATAAAACTTAGAGACATTATCTTCTTGTTAATTTCCTACAAAAATACTTGACTATTCTTAAACTGTTTGATGTAGGCTATTTAACCAAATTTCAACCTTTGTGTGAGTAGTTAACTAAAAAAGGATTTTTCAGCGTAGGTTATACGTAAATAAATACTTTACCATTTTTGAGTTTATACATGAGTCTTTCCCATAGGACTAGTTTAACGTTAATCGAATTTATCGTAAATGATGACATAATGGTCTAAGCACTGGGCTCTAAAATAATGAGTTGCAGGTTCGAACTCCGCTCTATACACTTTGATTATCACGTGACGGTTATTTTGGGCTCCCACATACCTGTACTTGATGTATTATGAATTCAAAAGTTGGGTACATAAATTAGCTGTACTTTCCACATTTACCAGGCAATTCTCTGTTTTATATGCCAAGTATCATCTTATAGGTAGAACATATAGATTATACCAACTATATCCTTGTGATTTATATATTGACTAGTTTTTATACTGTTTCACCAATGCATAATATATACTTTGTCCACTTAATTTTTCAGTCGTAGTCGCACGGAGCCTGTTAAACTGCCTACTTTGGGAGAACTCATTCAAACAATAATGATAAAAGGTAATATTCTTACTGTTAGTTATATATGTGCAGAACCTTAAGCATGATTTTTTGTAGGTGAAGATATAGTTGATTTATTTAGTTTAACAAGAATATTTTTCATTACGTTACTCTTTACGATCTTCATTTCGGTCTTTAGTTAATTATTTGTTAACCAATGGGTAAATTATGCATGCTTTCTTCGATTGAACATTTTTACGTTGAGTATAAAAGCAGGCTGGTTTTCGTTCCGGTCGGGGATGTATTGGTCATATCTCCACCCTCCGCCAAATGTTAGAACACCGTCATACTTATCAAAGGCCAACAATCGTAGTGTTTCTTGACATTAGGGCTGCCTTCGATTCGTTGGACAGGACTGTTCTCTGGGATTGTCTATTGAAGAAGGGTATGCCTGAGAAGTTTATTAACATCCTAAAAGCCCTATATACAAACACCTCAGGCAGAGTGAGGGCATACAACCACCTCTCTCCATTGTTCCATTCGAGCAGTGGGGTTAGGCAGAGTTGCCCAATCTCACCATTCCTCTTCAACTTTGCCATCGATAACATTCTGGAAACAGCTCTGATGGATGTAAGTAATGGCGGTGTGGATCTGTTGCCTGGGGAAAGACTTCTCGACCTTGAGTTTGCGGATGATATTGCCTTACTGTGCGATAATGCCCAAGCCATGCAATCCGCATTCAAACAGTTGGCAATCAGTGTCTGTAGGTATGGTATGTGCTTTGCACCTTCGAAGTGCAAAGTACTTCTACAAGACTGGCAGGATTCTGATCCTGTACTCACCCTGGATGGTGAGCAGATAGAAGTAGTCAAGAAGTTCGTGTATCTAGGTAGCTGCATAAGTGTTGGTGGTAGTGTGAATGATGAGATCAATGCACGTCTAGTGAAGGCCAGAGCGGCTTATGCCAATCTGGGCCATCTTTGGCGCCTTCGTGATGTCAGTCTGGCTGTTAAAGTTTCAGATCTACAACGCGTCGGTGAGAGCAGTTCTGCCCTATGCTTGTGAAACCTGGCCTCTCCGAGTTGAGGATGTTAGACGACTCTCTGTGTTTGGTCATCGTTGTCTCTTAAGGATCGCTGACATCTAGTGGCAACACCATGTTAGTAATGCAGAGGTTCGGCTTCATGTGTTCGGGTACAGAGATGATAATGCAATTGGTGTCCCCATCTTGAAACGCCGACTTCGGTGGCTTGGACATGTTCTACGAATGTCGTCCCAGAGAATTCCACGTCGTGCATTATTTGCCGACTCTGGGACTGGTTGGAAAAAGCGGAGAGGTGGTCAGTGCATGACATGGTGTCGTGGTATAAAAGAAATCTGCAAAGGACTGGCTTCTGTCGGTCCTTCATGACTCCCTGGTTGGGGTCCGAGAGATGGTGCTACACAGTGGCTAGAGACGTTATCAGATATGGCTCAGAATAGAAGTCAGTGGCGATCCTGCTGTAACCTTCTTTTACCTTCATAAAAAGTGATTGTGTCTTCCTTAACTGAAATATTTCTTCTGATTGTACCTTTCCGTTTCCCCCATTATTACTATTATTATTATTACACTACCTTACACCAATCTGTTCGTTATTGTTCTTTTTTTCTCTTCGAATTCTCATTGTTTTGTGTGGCGCATATATATTGGTGCCCTCTTGTACCAATATTTATAAGTTCAAATAAAGAATTTCAACTTTTCAACAGGATAATTTTTGTTGTCTTTTAAAGTTACATCATTGTGTAAATTATTATTTCAAAATGGAGTAATCTATGTTATCTGAAATGTGACTGTCTGTTACCGTTAATGTGTATACTTAGTGTCTACACTCAAATTTTGTTGTTGTAAGTTGTAAGATTTGTTTGTTTCGACACTTTAAGTCGGCAAATAAACGAACTATTCTCATCTTGTGTTCAGTTTTTGCTACTGAATGAATTTAGTTTGGAAAATTCCATAATATGAATACATTTTACTTCAAAGTGTAAGGTACTTTGAGGAACTGTAAAATATTGTTGAGAACGGTAAATTCTAGAGAATGCTAAATATTAGGTAGAAATCCTTTTTTGACTCACATATTAATTTGTAGTACATTCTATTCATCGAATTCTCATCTTTCCTAATTCAATTCTGAATGTCAGTCAGTCAGTCAGTCAGTAACAACGTAGAACTTCGTACGTACGTACATCAGTTCGAGTTGCCACACCACATTAGCACAGAGATGCACTTGTCGATTCAAATCCCGTAGTGATAAAGGTAATAAGAGTATAAGCAGTAATCGGGAAGATTAGGGTTTGGAGATGTTATTTAAAGAGTATAATCCAGTGAAAGAAATTTGGAAAAGAGGAAAAAAGGGACATGAAGAATTCAGAAGATTAGAGTTTGGGAGAACACAGAGAGTGGATGCACCTGCGCCATTGCAAACGATTTTGAGCCATGTCATTCAGGGTCTCTAACCATCGGTTGCTGTCATCTCGCGGTCCCCAACCAGGTAGTCTACACCTACCAACATGACTCAGTTCACTTGTCAGTGACTTCATGGACTTGTGCCATGTTTTGGTTTGGCCGCCCCAATTCTGAATGACTCTCAGACTGATAAATTTTCCGACTAATAATCATTGGAATAGTTAACTTCAATGTAATTTAGTTTTCCCTGTATCTTCAGTAATACATCTTCCTTACAAGACCTCTCTTTCTTCCATCAAATGGGGTACTATTATTATTGTTAATTGTTCAGTCTATCTAGTTCACATAAATCCAATTTTTTACTGGAAGAAATTTCATAATCGTTCGTAATCACCAAATGCCGTTTCCATTCCACAATATACAACAATTGTTCAGGGAAGAGGAGGGTCTTAATCACGTCACTACCTTAATTAGGTATGTCAATTGTTGTGACTTTATGTCCGGCTTTTTATCACGTGATTTATCCACCAATCAAAATACGACTTATACAATCTTAGCACTGTGCCAGACCAATGACGTTCGATCGGTATGGGCAGCCTAGCGTCCTTATTGGTCCTCTGTCCGCCTAACCCGTCCACTTAAGTCCAGAACACCGATACCACCTTCTGCTATGCGAATCGAATAATTTATTTCAGACATACTGGGTTTATATATCAATCAAACAGATCGCAGCGCACCATAAAATAGGAAATAACATTTGTACACAATAAAGCCAAAAAGTGGCTGTGAACGTGGGAGGCAATAGTCAATAAACCGAACATAGCTTAAGAACCGTAAATCGTACAATGATAAATTCTAGGTCAAAATAAAGCTTATAACAAATTGAATATAGATATACATAATCTAGTTACCGAATATTTATACCATGAGAATATATAAATAATAATAGTCCATTAATAAGTCTCAGACGTTACTCGTAATGTAAGCTTCACTAGGATATAACATCAATATTCTATTCGAGCTTAGACTAATTCACAAAAAATTGTCATTTGCTCTTTCCAACTGAACCTTGTGTTAATCGGCTTTACAGACTAATTTATGCATACAACCTTACCACTTCTAAACCCTTACTTTCAGTCTTTAATGTAAATATAATGTTTAGTCCTAGAAACGTATCTTTAATCTATTTTTTCGATGTTATTTCTTTCATCATTATTTTGTAGCACAACTTATTCGATTCGACAAGTTAGTTATTTGTTTACGTGAACGCTTCAAAGATCCACATTCAGTTACTAATACTAGTGTTTTGCAATACTTACCGACATTTGCTGTTCTACTCCGCGGATGGTGGGTCGCTAAAAGGTAATCAATTGTTTTCACATATCCATACCATGCCTTTTCTTAGCATTATTAATTATTTGAAAGTAGTAGTTAAGATACCCTATTATGCACCACCTAACTCTTATCAAGTTGTAACTCTGTAGGATTTGAACCATGGTCACTTCCATGCAATAATAATAATACGCTTTTATTTTTAATATTTAGTATTAATTTATATAAATATTCGTCAATATTTGAATGAATAGTTCCACAGAAATTAGGCACTCAGTGTATTTGAAGATATTATTTATAAAAATTATATTTGAAGTAATCTCAGCGATTGGATTCTAGATATTTTTCTGTATTTGTCATGTATTTTATTCTTCCAGTGAAATACTTTATCCTCCAAATTCATTCAGTGAACATAGTGGTACACCAAATACACTATTGATTCGGGCACGTGATTATATTGTAGGTTTCATTTTATAATATTCTATTCCTTTAAATCTCTAGATGTTTATATTGGAAAAATAGAAGTTACGGTAGAGATTATTTGGTACAACGATAAGTTACATCACAAACTGATTATCTAGACAACCATTGGAAACCAGGAAGCAATGGACTAGTGTTTTGTTCCAATATAGTACATCTCAGCAGTAGACATCTATAACCCTATCGAGAGTTGATATCAAAATGTGTAGAATTCTGAGTTAGCGCTTCATCATCTATCTAGATACACAGTACTAGCTTATATAGGTTTGTGATTCAGAAGACAGCTGAACATGGTCAAATAAAGATAAGATTTAAGTCTTGACAATTTTTCTTGAAGAAAATTCATTACTTATTGTAATATTATTTCATTTTTGTGGATATCCGCTTCTTGTACTACTCTTGAAGCATGGTTTACATCAAGCTATTTCTATGATGAAATTCATAAGATAACTTCGTCAACTACATTTTTTAACAGTTTAGTAGAGTTACGTTTTTCTTTAATTTGTTGTGTACTTAATTTATATTACTAGATTTAAAAATATCAGTTTCTTTGTCAACATCCCTCTATAACTATGTCCGTCAAGTTGCTGGAAACTTTTAATTCTATTGATGATTACTTTTTATTGAGTTGTTTGTTATCAATAGGTACACTAAAGAAGTTCACCACGTTTGCTACTTAAACGCTCATCATTGATCTAGGGCCAGATATGAACCGTTGTTCAAGTGAAATGGATCGAGCGATGTCTCTCTGGTCTAATTACTTCCTCGTTTCCTTATTCGATTATGCACATGATATTAAAGTTACCAATTTCCTCAGAAGTATTTGATTTGAACTAATACCCAGTGTTTTTTCATCGACCTAGAGTGTGTGTAGATGGCATGTGTCTCTTTCTTTAGATTTCAAATATTTTTTGGTTCATTATCTACTTTAATTATAGAGAATTCATAAGTTGGAAATCTAATGAGTTAGTGGATGACACCATCTCGACAAAAATATAATATACTCGAACTGTGCCAACTTGTCTCATCAAGTACACAAGCAGAATATCCACCTACCTATCTAGCGGTCAGTAGTTTGTAGTGTATTACTTCGCATATATAAACGCAGAGAGCTTGTATAAGTTACAAGTGTTGAATCGTAAGTTTCGTCTCAGCATTATTCTTCACTTATAGTGAGAAACACTAGTTTCAAATGTATAATACTGGATAAAATTGCTAATTTGGTTAATGATGTCGGGAATCTTCATCAACTGAGCCACTTAAAATACTTGTTACTTATGTGTCTATCAACTGTCAATCACAAAGTACTATATTGTCTTGCATAATCATATGAAGCTTTTTTGGGAAGTAACTTCAGTTGAATGTTTATTAACCAAGTATGCCTGTTTTATACATAATTTATCCTCACTACTGAGCAAGTTTTCATTAACTTGTATTGCTACAATGAACTTGTCCAGTTATAGTGTCATTTGTCATACTTTAACTTAGCTTATCTGTCATTCAGTAGCATGATAATTTAGGTAAATTTTGAAAACAATTCTAATTATAGAATGAATCGATGCACATTTACTTATTTTTATAAATAATCTAACTAGAATGAATTATTCTAACGTTCTATAATCTGTATAAATTTGTATATATTATATGTATATCTCTGTCGTTTCTTCTTAGATGGCTGTATTTCATCGCGGTGAACATTTAACTCGTAAAACTATTTCATGCATGACTAAAGTAGGTCAACTGGTAATTTTTATGATGTTAATTGTGACTCGATAGAAAATCTAATTAAAATATTGAATGAAATTGATACAGAGCTTGAGTTTATGAAAACAAACATATGCAAGTATAGAATAATAAAAAAATATAGCAGAACTTTGTCGTGAACAATGTGATCTTAAGTACTGTTACAGATATGTGAAAAGTTGACTTTTTCAGGTTGCCCACACCGTGAAAGGATACTTCCTCCTGAAGGGCTTGAAGACAAAGCTGACTTGCTGCTGTTCTTAAAGATCTGAGAGGATAACTGTAGAGTATAAGAGACAACTGCTTAAGGCTGGTCATACCTGCACTTTTAAGATTATTTTTTGGTAAGTTAATTCATGACTTCAAAGACTTTATCTTGAGCGACGGAAATTCGTGAGACAGTGTGAAGTGTACTATTTCCAAGGACTAACATTTATTTATTTATTGTAAGATGGCAGTATTACTATAAATGCTAATTGTCTGAGTAATGTACGGTACTACTGAGACACCTTAGAACAATCGGCAGTATGAATTTGCTGTTTTTAATCTTACCATTCTCTGATGAACTTACTGGAGACAGTAGAACTTTAAGGGACAGTTTTTTCATTCAATACACTTCGTTTAAGTCATTGAGGAAGAAATGTCGAACTATCATGCCAAGGTAACAGCTATGGTTAAGATTTGAATGTGGGTTTAATACATCTAAATGATAACAATTCATATTATTTATCCTATTAATATTTTTAATCAATGTTCATTTCCATTATTACATGAGATACTTTCCTATCCCGATGGTCTGGAATTCTTCATCTGTCTTAAACCAGCAGCATCTTTTTATTTTTTGTTCCCAATTTAAATTTCATCACTTATTTGAGCACATAAATATCGGTACAAATGGGCTTCAAAAATATATATGCGCCACACAAAGTAGTTATCATTAAATTTGTGTTTGGGCTGTGGTATTATTTAGGTGCCCAAACCGATACAGATTATTCTCTTAAGGCGCCACACCCTGAGCTTTTGACTTAAAGATCTAATCCACAAGGTAATGGAGCAACATTAGGAGACGCGATCGCATGGTTTTCAGTGACCAACAATAGTTTCATACACTATTAGTTCCTGGAGCTCATGTACACTATTGGTTTGGAATCGGACCTTCTTCAACCCCCTAGGCGGATCCACCGTACTTACCAACTGAGTTTAAGCGCCGGATATCCGATTTTTCTCCTCAATTTTGTAAACAACACCCCTGTTACGTGAAGGCAATGGGGAAGATTTCCCTGACAATCGACCCACTTGAATAATATACTTGATATTACTCTACTCCATCAGTTGTATTGATGTTAAAGTTATTAGTTCTCAAAACAGTAAAGTTATTGTTTTAAAATGCTTTATTTGTACGCCAATTTACTACTATGGGACTAAACCATAAGTACCATTGTGCAATTGGTTGTGGGTGTGTGCTTGGTTTTTTCTTCAAAAAAGGAAACTAATCTAAAATATCAGATAGTTGGAAATAGTCGACAGGAAACTCTATGCCTACAAGTCGTACTAGTTGGCACTCGTAAGGCGACCGTGCGTACCCGTTATATTTAGGGAACTGATGCTCTCTAATGCATCCAAATTGTCGTCACTAATTTGTTGCCTATGTTAGTTTCACACTTGTACTTTATTCAGAATAATTTATTAAAAATACAATTTGAGCAAAGAATTGTTTTTCTTAATCAGTTCCTTGTTATGACCATGCTAAAATATAGATGTTACACTTACGTTGTTAAGGTATACACTTTTCTCCGTATTGACTAATTCACTGTTATTTTGTGTCTAGTTACAGTTTGTTAGTAGATAAAATTCTGTCATTAAATAATCGGTATATGAATAAATTAACCTGAATTTAGATTAGTTCTTCTGGTATCTTTATCAGAAATAATTCTCTGAGAATTAAACTTTTCATTTTAGATAGAGGGCAGGAAATATGCGAAAAGTAACATTCAATTTTCATTATATTAAAATTGGAGTTGCAAATAATTAACTTAGTGCACAAACATAACATAAGTAAATTATCATGTAGACCAAATGAATAGTGATGAATCAATTTAACTATTATATCTCGATTTATTAAATTTTAACTTATCTGACTGCTTTGTAACAATACTATTTTTGATTGACATCATGAATCGATCGATGTTGAACTACCATCGAAAACCTGGAGGAGTCTCATACAAGGACGAGACGGCCGTTCAGTGCTTCTATGTTCTCAGTAGTGGTCTAACATCGATTGATTCATGATCTCAATCGAAAACTTAACAATCTCCACAGCCCCATACTGATAATACTACTTTTACTACTTACACTTTAAACATATCTCATTTGTGAGTATTAGTTTAGAGTTTCGGTGTTTTTCTCATTGAATTAAAGTTCACAAATCTTTTCTAAATTTTTGTGTTTAATTAACCAGTTGTCTATGCATTAATTATGTTTTGTTGTTGTTGTAATATTCAGGTACCTACTGTTGAGGCTACGGAAATACTGAAATCTTTAGCTTGTAAAATGTCAACTACTCAGAAAGGTTGTGCAAATCATTGGGAATTTTATCCGACCGATTATGATTTTATCAAAAAGTAAATACTGCTTCGTTTTTGTTTTATTCGTTTAACGCTCGTCTCCTCTACGTCGTCGAAGTTAAATGATGTTTATCAAATGCACGAACTTTTCATAATTACCGATTGTACGTTGGTTGATTATCAACAACATATATGCCTTTGCGAAAATCTTATATTTAGGGTCAAGTTGGCACAGGTCACGTGCACTTACGCCTGTTACTCCTAGTAGAGCATAGGACGCCGACCATCATTCTCCAACCCACTATGTCCTGGGCCTTCCTTTTAATTCTATCGAGTTGTTGTTGATTCTTATCATATCTGTCTCGATTTCTCGCCGTAATGTGTTGTTTGATCTTCCTCTTCTCCTTTGGCCTTGAGGATTCCAAGTGAGGGCTTGCCTTATTGCAGTTGGGTGCTTTCTCCAACATGTGTCCTATCTACTTGCAGCGCTTATTCATGACTTCTTCCTCCACTGGGATCTGGTTTGTTCTCTCCCACAGTAGGTTGTTGCTGACAGTGTCTGGCCAACGAATCCGAAGTATTTTGTGTAGACAACTGTTAATAAACACCTGTATCTTCTGGATGATGGCTTTCTCAGTTCTGCAAGTTTCCGCCTCATACAGTAGAACTGTCTTGACATTTGTATTGAAAAGTCCGACTTTGATGTTGGTTGACAGTTGTTTTGAGTTGCAGATGTTCTTCAGTTGTAGATGTGCTGCTCTTGCTTTGCCGATCAGCGCCTTCACATCTGCATCAGATCCACCGTGTTAATCAACGATGCTGTCCAGATATGTAAAGGTTTTACATCTTCCAAAGCTTCTCTGTCAATTGTGATTGGATTGGTGCATGCAGTGTTGTATCGGAGAATCTTGCTTTTCCCTTTGTGTATGTTGAGACCTACTGCTGCTGATACAGCTGCTACACTGGTCGTGTTCTCCTGCATTTGTTGTTGCGTGTGTGACAGAAGAGCCAGATCATCTGCGAAGTCTAGATCGTCCAGCTGCATCCTCGTTTTAAGAGTCCCTTGAAGTTCTCTACCCACCTGTTTCTGTTGTTTCATACAACGGTCTCATGTATCCTTCTCTTGCAGCCTTTTTCGCCGTCATTGCTATATCTTTCACATGTTTACGTTTGTCGGTTCTGATGCTCCTCTTCACTTGCTTGTTTACTTTCGTGTATTCAGATTGTGCCTTGGCTTTCTCTGCTTCTGGTCGGCTAGTGTCGGTTGCTGCCTTCTTGTTCCTCCTTTCTTGAATTATATCCAGTGTATCAACAGTGGTCCATCCCTTGTGACCCAGAACCTCTTGACATGTTGAAGTGATCTCCTCCTTGACCCACTTCCAGTTACTGTCCATAGTAGTTCCCTCTCCATTGAGTAAATCGTGGAAGGCCTGGAACCTATTGCTGAAAGCTATTCTAAATTTGTTGAGTTTGTCAGAATGTGAGGTTGTCTACCCCGTCGTCCAGTGCTTCTTGAGTTTCATTTTCATCTTGGCGATCAGCAAGTGATGATCTGATTCTATGTCAGCTCCTCTCTTGGTTCTCACATCCATCATCGTCCTCCTGAACTTTTTGTTGGTGTAAATATGGTTGATTTGTTTCTTTATAGTGTTACCCGGTGAAATCCTTGTGGCTTTGTGTATGCGTTTATGTGGCGCCTACGATCAGTTTATTGAAGGCATATGGGTTTGCAAATCTCTCACCATTTTCGTTTCTTTCTCCTAGTCCATGTCGTCCCATGATGTCTTCATATCCAGTGTTATCCATTCCAACCCTGGCATTTAGGTTCCCATCAGAATGGTCAAGTCCTTTGTTAGGCATTGTACGATCATTCCATGTACCTAAATAAATGATTGCTCTGGTTGTCAGAAGGGGCATTGGCCTCGTGACTTTCGAAGGAACTCGGCTTTCACCATGAGGCGTCATAACTCTTCTAAATGAAGACGCTCTAATTCCTAGGACCGAGTTTAAATAGTTCGAATTATTTTTTCAGGTTAACTTTTTTAACGAGTTAGTTTTCTACAGGATGGGGTCGTTAACCCCATGCCCAACTCTCCTCCTTTATCCGGGCTTGGGACCGGCAATAACCCCAGAGGAGCTGCAGGACTAGTTAGGTCACGAGCACAATTATAAGGAATTAACATGATGCAAGATAGATCTGTGCTACCCATTAGTAACTCATTTTTATCGTACTATTTTTTCCTTATATTTCATTGGTTAATTATAAGTTATCTGTGTTCCCCTGTCGGTTGCGATATTTTTATTTATCCGGCCATGTTGAACTGGCCATCTTGTGCTTTCCTATGCTAAAGATTGAATATTACTACTGAATTTATCTCCTTCAGTGTGAGCTACTTAACGTAAGCTAATAATTGTTTATTTTAGAATCACGTACTATCTATATTTATGTATCTATCAGCATTCCAAAAAACCAAGGGAGTCTTTTAACTTTGACAAGCCTCAGATGTGTTATTCCAGTGAGTTCAACACATGATGCGTAATAAGAAGAAGTAATTTTAGTGTCTAAAAAATTTTAAAAAAATGTTAAATATACAGAAGATAATTCAAAACGAAGTAATAAAATGCATGAATTCATCTACATTATTGAAATTGATTTTGAACCACTTCACCCATAGCCCCTTAATATTGCTAATAATTATCCTATAGATCCTTAGAGTGTTTTCACCAATCATGTATCATGTCAGTGAAATTGTGAACATCTGATATTTTAAAAAACTATACGCAGTGTCCGTGGTGTGACTTTCACATTATCTCTTTTGGCATTTAGTCAAAATTGTCTAACTAAATATCTTTTCTCAGCCTTATTTTATAGACAAAACCAAATAACTTAATTTTACCCACTAATTTGTGATTTTATCATGTTATCATCTCAATTTTGTTCGTTCATGCAAATTAAGAGCATTTGATTATAAAGTTCGCTTATGGTGAGTTTGTTCTACGTCTTTCAGACGATTGACTTCATTAGTCAATAACACAAATGATCTTTAACAGCTACGAAAGAGGTTAATGACTATCGGTTCACACAGCTGCTTCTATTGTCAGTGCCCAGTTAGAACACGAAGGCAGCAAGCAAACTTACCGCCTATGACTGTATTGTCATTCTGACTCAAAAACCTGTAGAATTATACACATCAGTTGCATGACTACAACTTACCGCGAACAAGAAATTACACTGTGTACATAACTAGGTCATATAGGAGATAAAGTACTAAACAATTATGTCTATAATTCACGATAGTACAAGAACCGTAAACCATTTAGTTAATGATTGAAATGAAAACAGTATAAAATGCAATAACCGTTGTATTTGTATATAATGCTTGTGAATTAAGGCCATATCGAGGCAACACGCACAGTATGCACATACACCAATAAGAGACTAATCAATTGCAGTCCTAAATATCAACGGGAAGATTCGGACAAACAATACCAAGTGAATTTAAACTTCACCCCATTGCACAAGCAAGTGGCTATCAGGACTCAGTAGCTAACTGGATAACGCGATGGAGTTTGAAGTGAACAGTACTGAGTCCGAGCCCCAGAGTGAACATCAACTCTGAGGTGCAAGTACATCCAGCTGACGGGTCCCGAATAAGTCGAAACGCGTGTCCTGGATTCCACTGCTAGCCACTATCCATCTTCGCATATATTCCTTGTATATAATGGTTTGCACAAGCAAAATATCTACCATAATTCCCACAATATCACATGTCGAATTATATTTTTATTACTAATATTTATTAATTGCATAAATGCGACAACTTATAGGATTTCAATCGTTATCAGTATTTATTCTTCGTTAAGTGTGTATCTTTACTTTTCGTTTTTTCGAAAAAGTTTTTCAAGCGTAAATCGACTACGCTCACAATCTGATTTTCCTTCCTTCTCTCCCTCTCCATCTCAGATATCCAGATATTGTACAACAACAACAAGTTGCTTGGGAAATTCGCATTCGTCAATTATGCACACAATTAAAACTAGAACATCTCGTATCGGGTATGCCTTAGTTTAATATGCTTCACGCATATACAGTTTTATATATAATACACAATATTTGCACTAAGTAGTAAGTAACATCATCTCTCTCTAGTCGTTAGCGTAGATCGAATTCCACTTAATATGCAGTAGTGTGGATTATGTGAAGCAGTCACTTTAACTAATGACCACAATACAACTTGGTTGATACAATTCGACCAGTACTAACAGTAAGTAAATATATCACTGGTTATTTATAAGCAATTGTTCAGTACAAATATATCAGTCCTACAGAGAAACCATTTGTACTATGAATATTGCCCAGTGATGACGTCTCTGACTACTGAGTGACACGAATTTGAATCTCACATGGGGAATTAACTTTATTAAGAATGTAGATAAACTTTGATAATGAGACCTAGGTAACACTGAAGTTCTGACCTTACAAATACCTAAAGTTCCTGAATAAAATGTAATGTTAATTGTTAAGCGGATGAGAATATATTTATTAAGTGATGTTTACGTTCTGCTTCTTAATTATAATTCACAACCCATCACAGGAATTACCGAAAAAATACTTTTAATTTGGAAATAAATTAACTTTGCCTGTCTAGTTTGCAAGATCATGCACTAGTTTCCCAGCTGCATTTTTCACTTGAGACATTTAGAGGTAATAATTGGTTGGTCCAACTAGATTTGATTAAGCCATAGTTCACACGTATTGTTTATAGATGTAGTAATGTTATGCTATGTCAGTAATTGGCCAAGTACAAGTTTATGTATTTAGGTTCTAGCCACATTGTTAGTATGAGAATTAATGCCACTACTGAAATAAAAGGGGTTGCGTTCGTACCTGCAACTTGTTGATTTGAAACTAATAGTTTGACCCGACCCATCCATGGAAACAATTGATTTCGTATTAGTTTGTTTTTTTATAAGTATGTGTTTCGGTATCAATATGCGTCATCATTACGTCATTTAGTCGGGAATTTTCTTATCGCTAGCTCTTTGTTGTACATATTTTTCATTTATGTAGTGAGTGTTAATGGCATATCCATTTTACACTGCACTTTCCTTTATGTGATTTTTATTACCTTTTTATTTTAAGATGGAGTTCGACGTAAACGTAATCCTGGACAGCATTCTGGTGAAAGTGGTTCAGATTCTGACAGTGGCTTCAAATCACTTGTTTCAGGAGTACATATTTCAACCCCTAGTAAAAATACAAATCGTAAACGTTTACGTCAATCAAGTGTATGTCATACAACAGATACTGATAAAGATGCCAATAATTCATTAAAACCACCTGATCGGAAACGTGTACGAACTCAAAGTCTTTCATCGAGTTATTCTTCTGGTTTATCATCTCCTCATTCTACTACTACAAAATTACCTTGTCTTCAAACAGATGTTGTATCGTCAAAATTTTGTATACCTACTAGTCCACCACCTGTGAAAATAAATTCTCCGAAACTAAAAGTAAATAGTACACCTATTTCTTCAGATCTTCCCGATAATTCATCAACTGCATTATCAACAAGTAAGTTAAAGTGTAATATATATAGCGATCTAAGCTACTAAAATATAAGCCAGAGAAAGGTGTATGTGTGTAGGTTGTCACACGTAGTCATGCCTACATGTTCATCCACACATAATAACAATAATGACAAAGCAATGGATAAATTGTTGCTATTTTTTTACAACACTGTCTGTTAAATAAGTTAATCGAAGGGCTTGACAAAATTAACCGTAAGCAAACTTAAGTGGAAAAAAGTGCTATCTTTTGCTGTAAGTACTCCGTTAGAACATTTATTGATTTCAGTTCGATTTATTTTCGTTATTTTTTTTAAAACCTTAGATTCATTTAATAATCAGACAGTTGGTTGCAAACTGGAACCTCCTACTCCTGAGGATCGTGATCCTGATATCCCTACTGCTGCTGCCGCGACTAGTGTTACTGATTCAGAAATGAATGAACTCAAGCTTAAACGTTCTCCATCATCCCATGATATATCTCAATCAGCTATCATGGACAACGGTCACAATGATACCAATAGTAATACTGAATTATCTAGTCAAACAGATCTTATTAGTAATCATATTGGTTTACCATGTACACCTTTACAATCTGTTAATGATACTAATATAGACAATAACGACAGTGTTTTAAAATTTGACAGTGACAATGAAATGCCAGAATTATTAATGAATAATTCAATTAATTTTGTAAAAAATGTTTTAAATACTCAACCAATTGTAGCATTGTCAGCATTGACAAAAGTCTATCAGGTTAGAAATAATATTTCCTTTATTGTTTTGTTCCGTTGATTCGCTTTTTTTCGTTGCTTCCTTTTATTCTTTTCTATAGTATATACTAAAGAGAATTATATCAGTTTAAGGTATTATAATTAACAGTATTCTTAAGTAATTTTTTTCTTTATTGTAGCTAAGTTGAAATATACACATATGTAGAATGTTAAATATTAACCAGTTCCAACCTTAAAATGTTTGAGTACCATACAACCTAGTTTTGTGTTAAATAATGCAGATTAAAAATGTCAGCGTAACACGACTTTCTTTGATGTTACCGAATAAGTATGAATTCTGATTTGAAGGCATTTTATCGGTTAACAGTAAAAAAATGAATTTGTGTGATACAATCATCACACAACTATAAAAATATCTAAATTGAATTGAGGGAGAAGCTTTGATGATCCTTTGAAAGCAGTAGTAAAGCTCATGTACCTGAAAAGCTGTGGGAGTCTCTGTGGCAGTGTTGCAGATGAGCTTAATCTGTGCATAGTACGGGATAAATCCCCATATAAGATTCTTAACCACCTTTATCACGATAGCGTCATTTGCATGTCTTTGAATAATCAGATGTTCGATTCAGTAATATAAGCGTTTTTGTAATTCGCTAATGAGATTCTATCTATTCAAACTGAGGTTGTCAGTTGTTCGCTATCGCCTAACGATTGCTAATCTTCGACGGCTAAATCATGTAAGTTCCAATGTGATGCAGTGCAAAAATTTGTCTGCTAATTATTCAGTACATGTTAACATATTTAAACACATTTTTTAGTAACTCGGTTACACTTTATGTTTTTTGTTCAAGTGGTCGAGCATGATCTACCGATTTTAGTCTAGTTGTAAAAGGCAAAGAGGTGATCAATATATAACATAATAGTATAGTGGGAATGATAATTGTATTATGTTAACAATTGTTGATTTATCGCAACTCCCTTCTTGGGCCATGCAATTAGATAGCTTTAAACGTTATCTAACATAGTTCAGAATATACACCAATAACCACTGTGGTCTAATATTTGTTAACCATCGTTGTCGTCAGTACTGTTTTTTTTTCCATTGTCACAAAGATATATTTAAAAAGTCTTTATTGTTGTTTGAAAGTTGTTTGCACTAGATCTTCACTAAATTTCAACCACTTATATTTATCAATAACATATTACCAAACATATAATGATATCCATAAAACATTATTTATTTAAACACATGAACATTAGTACAAGGAGGCACCAAACAGATATGCACCACATAAATCAATCGATTTGTGTGAGGGCTGTGATACTGCCCAGGTGCCCAAACCGAAGCAGCTAGTTTTCTTAGGAGGCCACACCCCGAGCCTTTGACCTAAAGGTCTAATCCACAAGGCAGTGGAGCATCGTGAGGAGATCCAGTTCCATGGTAGCCGGTGACCTACAATTGGTTCATACGTCATTTGTTTCTTTAGGATCCTGGAGCCCATGTACACCATTGGTTTGGAACCAGTGTTTTCCAACTCCTCTAAGTGGATCCTCCATATCCATCAACTCGGTTGAAGCTACGGACATTCGCTTTTCGTCCTCTCAATTTCTGACTGGTGGACTGGTTAGTTTGTCTGGCAAGGTTTTCTTATGACATGCAACTCATCAAGGTTTAAATCTTGAATTGATGCGAATATAGGCGTCAGAATTAGAATAAATAAAGAATTGAGTTGTATAAAGAGTTAAAAACTATTCTACAAAGCCATTGAAATTTGTATCTCTGTTGGCGAGTTTTAAGCATTATTTATTAAAAATAAGAACTTCACAAACAGCTTAGCTAAATGACGCATCAGAATCATATCTTACTAAATAATTATACTAGTATTGTGAATTATTAGCGCTTTGGTACATATAGCTGTCTCTTGTTGCCCATCTTTTATTTCCGTAATTCACCGTCATTTTGTTGTAAAAAAATGCACATCGTCGTATACTTAACCCATGATCACTATTCACGAAGTCATAATTTTATTGAACAGTTGAATAACAATTTAGCATTCTCTGTCTACATCAAAATTTCTTCGTGAACCAGTTTGTCACTCTACTCTTCTTTATAGAGACTAAATGTAAGATACTGAAGTATGTGTCAGTATGAACACCATGCAGTGACGAAAATTACTCGTTATATATCATATCTATAAACTTAATACGTTTTAACCTCATTTGTTGCCCATTACAACGTTCTTACGAATCAATTAAGTTATAATTACAATTTGACTAGATTTTTTTTTCCGAAATGATATATAATGACTGATTTGTAATTTTTAGTTTATATCAGGGACTGACCCATAGCTAGATACCCAATAAAGACAAGAAAGCACTGGACATCTGTTTCGTCCTAGTATAGGACTCGACAGTATTCATCTACGGATTCCACCTGTTGTTTTGCGGCAAACTTCGTCTACATCCGACGTTTTACATTCCTAAATTCAATCCAGTGCGTCATGCTGTTCAGTAGTTATCTAACTAATGTCAGTCCATGATCTAAACCGCGAAATTCAGTAACATCCTTAAATCGTACAATATATATGTATATTTATTTATTTCAGCAACAGTTAGGTAATTTTGATGCAAACTTCTATTCTACACTTTGGAAGAATAGTCCACCACCTCCTCCAGGCTCTGAAAGTGAACGTGAATTGTTAAAAACGTATCTTTTGAAAGTTTTACAAACAATTGATGCACGTCAGTTAACAGTTTGTTGGCCAACTATACCAACAGCACTTGAGAAAGAACCATTATTTGTAATAAAAGTAGCTGGTCCCGAATGTGGAGCTATCAGTGAATCAATAGCACAGGTAAAGTGTTGTGTCAATCCATACTTTACATTTTTTTCCTTTTTTTACTATCTCGAGAGGACCTTTGACGTTAAATTTCAAATACCCCTCTAAACTTTGAAGACTTCACGCAAACTTAAATTGATAACTCTCAGATGTGAAATGCCAAGAAAAGAACAAGAGAAAAAGTGAACCGACAGTGCAACACCCATACATACTGCACTTATATTTAATGAGGAAACCGATTTACAGCAATTAGAAGTAGTAAAACATACTGTTGAAATCCCATAATGTTTGTACTATTCGAGGTCTTGTAATAAAAACAGTGCTAAGGGTCATTTCCTGAAGGAAACACATTGTCACGACTTCGCACTCCGACTGTGAATTTGCTGATTTTAGTCGCACGATTCCCCAACTGACTTGTCTTAGATGGTAATATATGTCTACATATACCAAATATAGTTTCTTATATTACATTCTTTTGTGTTAAGGCTAACAATACTGCTTGTTGACTCGAATCAGAGCAGGTTGAATGGAGTTCGAATCTCCTAGAGGTTACTGAAACAAATACACATTTCTTTTCATATGAATTCGTTTGCTTTAAGTTAAGTCGTGAACTGATTGATGATTCCAAGTCGTCAAATATTCATCATAGCTGAGACGTTCAACTGAATTCCATAAGTAACGTGTAGTTCTTCTAATTTAAATTCATCCATTCATAGAGAGAAATTTGTCAGTTGAATATGTATTCCTAAATAATAACATTATTAAAAACATTTTTTCATAATAATTGTATTTCTAGTTCCGTGATATAATCTTAGCACTTTATGAATCTTTGCCAAGTTTCAAAATGAAAGATTTACAAGAAAAATGCCCAATCTTTCCACCAAAAGGCATGTCTGAAAAAGCTATGCGAACATTCATTAAAGTAAGTAGAGTGATTGTATTATTATGATTTAAGTTAGATCCTTCTTGTCTTTCGTAACCCTTGATTTATTGAATTACAATATTTTCATTCCATGATAATTCTCCTTTCGTTTGTACAAAACTCGGTACTAATAATGTGAAACTGATAACTAGGATCAGATGGTCTCCGTATTCAGCTTAGTTCTTCTCTATTGATTCAGGCAAAATCTATGTCTAGGAAACAGTGATTTTATAATCTGACATTTCTATTTATCACTTGTCAGTCGAACAGTTACTATTATTTTTAGGATAATAAGTGGGTTTCCGTATGATACTATTTGAACCTGTGTCTTTCATATACATATACTTACTACTGAAATATTTACTAGTAGGCTAATTATGCCAACTAAACTTTACCGGCTATCACAATTCAGTAACCTTAGATTGTTTGCCCGTATGCTAGTTCCTTATAGGATTTTTTCGAACGAGTGTACACTCATTAGTTAACAGAAGATTTTCGTTTAGAATGTGATGAAATTTGGAAGTCGATCAGGGTTATAAGAAGAACGGGAGAGGAGTAGCTGCGAATCTAGTTACACTGTAAGACAAATATCCTAAGGAAAAAATAACTTAGTCGGTTCTATTTACAATCCTTTATCTTTGTATATAATACAAAGCAAATAATTAAAAGTTTCTGTAATTAACTTTGAGTGACAAGCGTCTTTTATATTGATGGCTAGTAGTACTATTTAGTTGCCAATTTGACTACTCTATTTTTCATCATAAAATAGTTATTTAAATACTATTTCTTATATTTTATACCACTTATGTTTACAAGTACAACTGAATTTCGTATTATTTTTCCTGTATTTTTCATCAAGCAATACTGTATATTCAGACATGGGAGATACTTTCTACGTTGTACTGTTTCTGACGATTAATCTTTTTGAATAATCACTTGGTGAGTTACTTTACTTTTCCATACATTTTCTTTATGCATATACACACACTATATATATATATATATACATATATATATATATATCATTATGTTATTCATGCAAGTATTTTTCAAAATAAATTGACTTGAGATTCTAGGTTAAAACAGTTCTATTTAAATGAATCAATATTATGGTCGTCGGTTATAACTCTCTTCGTTATTGTGTTCTGTCTGATTCAGTTGCTTACACACATCTAAGGTTTTATCACTCAGCAGAGTGAATGTTTGTACAAATCACTCGAAAAGATTTATCATGTATTATATTATACACTACTTTGTGGTAAAAATTATTTATCGAACTTTTTCTAACTGTGACATGAATGTTGATTTTGGTTTGGTGAACAATACTTATAATAGCCCGTCTACTTTTCCATCGGTCATTCACTGTGTAGCCTTGAAACAGCATTTGAGCCGTTTAGATTGTCTGATTTATCAGTAATCAAAGGTTTTCAAAATAATGACAACTTCATTTTAGGACGTTCTCATCATTAAGACTAAGTGTTTTTACATGTTACAATATATTTCTCAACTTCATTCGTATCTGGTACGGCCGAGAGTGGGGAGTGTCCGCTCTCCCTCTCGAAATGCTCTCACATGGCCACGCGTATGTAGCCTCTGTCAGGGAATTCCTGCTCACTGCCTTCTTGTGGCGGGGGTGTTTACAGAAATGAGAGGACGAAAAGCGAATGTCCGGCGCTTTAACCGGATTCCAAACCAATGGTGCACATGGGCTCCAGTATCCTGAGGGAACCCATGGCGTATGAACCAATTTTTGGTCACCGGCTACCATGTAACTGCATCTCCTCACGATGCTCCACTGCCTTGTGGGTCAGACCTTTAGGTCGAAGGCTCGGGGTGTGGCCCTTTAAGAAAACCACCTGCTTCGGTTTGGGCACCCGGGCAGTATCACAGCCCTCACACATATCGAATGAGATTTGTGTAGCGCATATATATTTGGTGCCTCCTTGTAGCAATATCTTTGTGTTAAAATAAATAAATAAAAATAAAAATATCTTTGTTAATTTCTTACCACTGTGTTAAATTTTCCTAGTGACTTGTGTCGATATATAATTTTTACCTGGTTCCATATCATTTTATATCTGACGATCTGACTGTTATTATAGCAAAATGACAAAGCATATTTTGTTGATTATTAAGCAATACTAACTAGCTGTTTCGATAATTAACTGTAAACCCATCTTACAAATTAATTAATAGTAGCAAGAGAATTCTAACGACAGTATTCGTTTATCGTAATATCATATATTGTACAGAGATGCTGGTTGATACTGTTTGTTTATTTAATGTCTTTACTTCTTTGGTTTTGTTTTAAGTTTTTAACCGCGCTTTTTAAATTTTTTTCTGTTCTTCATTTCCAGAAAGAATTCAAATGGATTATTATCATTATTATTACTTCATATATTGCTTACCTTTTGTATGTCATATCAACACAATTTGTATATTATAACTTTCTATTTCTTCTTGTGAATACTTTGAATTTTGCAATAAATTTATTGCATTGTGTATAAAGTTAAATATGTCTTATTGTTTGACTTCAATATTTTTTGTTACACATCTGGTAAGTGGGAAAATACATTTCGTAAGAATCAGCTGATTAGCGTTTCTTTTACTTCTTTGACGTACTTATATGTTGGTACGATTGAGAAACTAAAGAAATAGTCTTGGCATCACAAATAAGCAGATAATACTGTAATGAAATAAAAGAGGAAATATAAGTAAAATATAAAAGAAATAACTAGACAAAAATAGAATTTAGTAAGAGATAAATTTCATATTAACATACGATTATATAGGATTTCTTTGAGTTGAAGAAGTTCAGTAGTTGAAATCATTAGTCAGTTGAAGCTAGACCACCATAGAAAGCCTGGAAGCACTGAATGTCCGTTTCGTCCTAGGATGGGACTCAGCATCCACGATCCCGCTCCCCGCGAGGTTCTAACCCAGGACCTATCAGTTTCGCACGCACTGCTGAGGAGTCCCATATTAGGAAAAAACGGTCGTCCAGTGCTCCCAGCTTTTCCATTGTTGTCCAATTGACTCATGATTTCAACTATTGAAACTACTAAAATCTCCACAAAACCCCTTCTGTTAAAGAAGTTCCTTCCATTTTTATGAATTCAAAAGAAAACTATAGCAGGATTACCATTAGGTTAACTGGTTATCGTCCTACCTCTTTTACCCGATTCCAACGCTGCCGTATAATACATGGTATGAAAGCTGCTGAGATGACACTTGTGAAACATATCCAAACCGCTGAAGACAGTGTCGAATCTCAGAGTCACTGGCTTTCCTGTCCTGAATTGACAGATACGTGGTAATTCATCCACTTTGGCTCCAAATATGAAGAGGTCAGAGAGTGTAAATGTAGGCTGATTAAAAGTCAATTCAATTATCGTTAGTATAGAACGGTAAAGAGGTCTTAACTGCAGTGGTAATAATCAACGATCGAGAACTCTCAAGATACTTATTTACGAAACAATCAGAATGAGATTGAGATGAGCCCCTGACTCTTAGTGACTTTATAAGTTTCATATCTAATTGAATGAGAGGAACAGTATTGGGGATTGAAAAATTAATCCTGGAGATCTTTTAATGGTGGCAATCCATTTTTAGCAGTTATATTGACTGTGATATCAAATGTAATCTGGGGACTCGGCATTATGTCATGTGACCTCTCAATGTCTGGTCGTTCCAGTTTATAAAAGGAAACGGATTTACATGTGATAAATGTGAATGTGTTAGTTCGCTTAATATAATATCTAAAAGTCTTAGTAAGCAATACGTCTCCGAACTAGGGTTCGCTATTAAAAACTAGAAAAACTCGATCACATTTCAGACGTAGACGTATCCATTAAATATTCGCACTTGTCATACGAATGCTCTTACATTTATGTTGCTTTTCACACGTGAATCCGAACTTAGTATTTGTCTACTCAAATAAAATTGGTCTATCTACTAAGATACTGAATTCGAATGGTCGCTAGCTTGTTTTTAAGATCGTTGCAGTTTAAACTCAGACCGAACAAACAGTCACAAATTAGTTGTTTATGCATTCCAAAAATCGTTATTAAATATTTGTTATTACTGTTAACTATTTGAAGTCGGTAACATTTAAATACTTTTTTTCTAGTTAAAATTCTATTTTATGCGTGAGGTTGCTAACCTCACACCTAACTCACATTTATGCCAGTTTAGGATCGGCATAAACTCGAAAATAGCTCCGAGCAGAGTTATTTAGATTCGGAAGAATTATTAAAATAATAAACCATATATCAAACTTATTTACTTCATTTGGCTAGGTTGTTTGTTTTTTCTAAATCAAATTTCATAACTAGTAATTAGTAATGAAATGGAGTTAATTAATATTTGTTTAAAATGATTTCGTTTCCTGTATTGGTTATTATAAAGATTTGTCATTATTATTGTTACTATTATTATTATTATTATTATTATTATTATTATTATTATTAGTAGTAGTAGTAGTAGTAGTAGTAGTAGTAGTTTAAATTTTTACAGTTGATCAAACATTTTGACAGCTTCACTCTTGTGAAACCAAAAATTTATTTATATGTAAAGTTGTCCTAGTTCCGTTTTAAAGCATTTCTAATCATAACTTTTAATTCTTTTTTTGGTACTGTTATTCTCCTTAATCAAAGAGGTTTTCATTTATGTTAATTAATCCTTACTCCCTTCCATATATATACAAATCATATAATATTGAATATATTATCCCTTTAGTTGTTCTAACTTGATACTATAGTAATTATTTGTTTAGTATTGTTATTCTATCAGGGTTTGTTTCTCTGTTTTAATTTTAAATACCTCAAATGAATTATAAATCCATGTAATTCACCTCTCCTCTTAAATGTTCCTCATTATGTGCATAAATAAATTGTGCATATTTCATGTCATTTAAATTATGTATTGAAGTGGAACGTGTACTGCCAAGCTAATGATAACAATAATAATAATATTAGTACTTGTCGGAAGTTCGGTGATTATCTTATATTAAAGCATATTTTCAACAACAACATAGACAACAAAAACATTTTTTTGCGCGTGATTGAATTTTTGCAACGTATTTCATTCTAGAAGAAAAAAACAACAAACAAAATAATTCAATTGTAATAACAGTATTAAATGATATTTTGCTAATTAATTAGTAAGAATTCCATACATATATTAATGTTATCATGTTAAAAGTTAACAATTCAATGGTGTACAATTGTATCAATTTCATTGTGCAATAACTTGATTTGCTTGTTTGTTTGTTTGTATTTGCAACATGACGGTTGCTATTAGTGATGTATGTAATTTTGAAGTAGGGAAGTGTTGATTGTTTCATTTTAATTTATTTTTAATTATTCGTAGATTAAAATTTATGGCAGTGACTGTTTTTTTCTGGTTTTTTTTGGTTTCTACAAAATGAAAAAAAACCCACTGATTTTTTTGTTTGTTTTTGACAAAAATGTTTTTTCTATAATAAAAAAAAGAAACCAACTTCCGTTAAATGTCAAATAGAGATTTTAGTTTTTGTTTTATGGAATTAAATTGTGTATTACGATTCATTTTGATTGCAGAATTAAATAAGGTTTTGCTTTATATATATATTTTCTAAATATAAATCTCTAACTGAATATTATTTAATTTATATATCCATGCAAATATTGTTATGTAATGATAAAGTAAGATGGGTTTGATAATAGGTTATTATCAAAAAAGAGAGGTTTCACACTTTGAACCAAGAAGATTTCTATTAATAAGAGAATATATAACTCATCCCAAATGCCCTGGTATGGCCGGGAGTGACGTGAGCCCGCCCTCCCTCTCGAAATGCTCTCACATTGTCACGCGTATACAGCCTCTGTCAGGGAATTCCTGCTCACTGCCTTCTCGTGGCGGGGGTGTTGTTTACAAAAA